CATTGCATTTAAATATTTGATGATCAAAGTTGAGCGGGAAGCAAGAAGCCAGAAGAGAGTTCCACAAGCAAGAAGTGCTAGAGAAGAAACTGTTAGCATAGAACTTATGTTTACATCTAGACATTTCAACTGTAAAATGGTGAGACCTTGCGGCAATCTCGTGCTTCGCTTAAATTCCTAAAGTCTAAGTGCCAATGAGGAAAGCTGATCAGAACAATTACCAAGAATATATTTATAGAAAATGCACAGGGAAGCTACGTTACGGCGGTCGGAAAGTGACTGAAGCTAAGATACCAGGTTAGGACCAATAACATTGCAGATTATCCCTTGGATTTTATCAGGAAACTCTAAACGTATAACAGAAGGACCAGATGTGGCAGGAATGGTAGACTTACGAATGTGTAAGATAGATTCTGGCAAGTAAAATTGCCTCACGCTACACAATGAACCAACTTTCTTAGCAACTGAAGTAGTAGTTGATTCAATAAAATCTTTCCACTTCATGTCAGCGGAAAATGTTAGCCCGTGAATAATTAAGTTTTTAATTATTTCTCCTGGATGTTTTAGTATCGGCGATACTGTTGTATATGCTGTATATACAGTAATAAAAAAAAATATAGCATGACACTTACAAAGAATAACATCGATAGCGCTCTCTCAAAAAGGGAATAATATTAATATATACAGTAAAAAAAAAACACAATAATATTATATTTATTATAAATATTAAAATGTACACTACAACTTGTTAAAGTTTATTTACCTTGTGTATAGAGTAGAAAAGAATTTTTTTCTGCAGTGATGATAGAGTGGGAACATAGATTGTTTTTTATTCTGAGTCAGAGAAGCTATAAAGTTCCTCTGATATTTAGGTTTCTATGCTTTCTTTTTTACACTTTCTTTCTGCTTCGATGCCATGATGATGGCAGAAAAATTAATATATTAATCGAAATAGCAAAAAAATATCAATTTTATCACCGATACTGAAATATCACGCATGCGCTAATGCAAGTACGTTATATACTGTAAACTCGTTTTTTGTATACAATTAAAAGGCCCGCCACTGCCGGCAAAAACTTTGAGAACTAATTACGACTCGTTTTAAAATCGTAAATTTTGGAAGCACATTGCTGACGATTTTTTTTTTTGTTTTTGATTTTTTTTTTTGTTTTTTTTGGAGGTTGCAGATTTTTTATTTATTTTGGCTTAATAATTTTGTAATTAAAATCCGAAGTCCGTTAACAAAAAGTGTCCAAAATAAATATATCGTTACATTTTACATCTATTCGGCGCTCTCAGAACGTTAATCCATAAGCAATCTTGATTAATTCACAGGTTATGCAAAAAATCTTTTATCCGAGATTAGCATTCATAAAGATAAATATTAACAAAAAACTAATTGACATGAAATAATCAATATATATATATATATATATATATATATATATATATATATTTATATAGCATTTTTTATTTCATACATGTTTCATTATATAATATAGACAAGTGTTGTCTATTTATTTTATGTAAATTCTTTTTCATAACGTCTGATAATATTTAATAACATTATCATTAAACGAAGAAAGAAAATCACAATATTGATATATATTTTAATCCAATCTAAGCTTTGGTTTACATAAGCCATTATCAAAGATGACAATTACATTTCAATATATTAAAGCAATACACGGACAAAAAAATGTGTTTCTGTTTACATGGATGATTTCAAGCAACGATAAACACGTGCATATAAGTTTGCTGGAAGCGAAAATCGCACCGCACCTTTTCATGACGTTTAATTGAATTTAAACACACACACACACACACACACACACACACACACATATATATATATATATATATATATATATATATATATATATATATATTCATACATTTTTCATTAAATAATAGACAAGTGTTATTCTATTTATTTTATGTAAGTTCTTTTCATATCATCTGTTATTTATTAATAGTATTATCATTAAACAAAGAAAAAAAAATCACCATAAAATACATATTTTTAATCCAATATAATATTTATATATATATAAGCCATTTATCAAAGATGTCAATTAATATGTACAATATATGGGGACAATACACGGACAAGAATTTGATGATAGTCTTTTTTTGTTTACATGGATGATTTCAAGCAACGATAAACACTGTGCATATAAGACGCTGGAAAAAAAAAAATTTATGAATCATGACGTCACACATGACCACGCGAGAGTGAACAAGAAGTATTAAGTATGGGAAGCCGTTGGTATAAACCAATGGCTTCTGTTACCAATTATAGACATTTAAGGATATTTGTGGAGATTACATTTTTTTTTTTTGTTTAGGCTAGGTTTCAACTGTTTTATGTATATAGCTTCAAGAATTTTTAGTTTTGGTTTATTGTTTTCATGTTTTAAGTATAGTTATGTTTTCAACAGCTTTTTTCAAATGGAATTGTGTATGCGGCTAGAATTTTTTAAATGCCTAATAATAAAAAAAAAAATCATGAAATGTCAACATTCAAGGCAACAAAGACTGTTTCATGCTAGACGCAATTGTCAGGTCGACTATTTTTATTTATATTTACATAAACTCTATTAAATCTGATATTTCTAATTATTCATTTAATAAATATAATAAATCCCCTTTGGATTTTTATATATATATATATATATATATATATATATATATATATATATATATATATAAAAAACATTTTTTTTAAAACTATTAAAATATTTTATTTCACCTTTGATTTAAAGGAAAACGGATCATGTTGTTAACTTCAAAAAATGAATATATATATATATATATATATATATATATATATATATATATATATATATATATATATATATATATATATATATATTTTATTGTTAAAGGAATTTTTGAACACTTGATTTTTTTAGATTTTAAAACATTTTTGAATTCATTTTAAATTTTTTACATAAAAAAGAATAGAAAAAAGATTTGTAAAAAAATAGCTCAGTAACAATTCAATGTGTACAAATCAAAAGAGGATGAAAAAAAGATGTCACTATAATGCGATAATTTTTTATACTTAAAAGCGAATTGTTTCGCATTTCAACATTGTAAATGACGATATTGTGTTGACCGCTTAAAACATCGCACAGTAGGTTGATTACAATTGTTTTCACTTGGAATATGTAAAAAATTTAATGGTTGTTTGTTTTTTGTTCATTTGAATAAGATTTGAGAAATGCATTTGATTTATTTATAGCAATTGTTCGATTTTATTTATTCACTAATAAAATGAGTTTATATTTAAATGACGCTATTTAATATCGTGAGTGAAATATGTAAACATTAATAGTAAAATTAATGTAATATCTTAATTATTTCCAATTCCATATTTCGAGCATCGTTTTGTTCGGATTTTATATATAAAATGTAATCAACGTGGTCGAAAGGCCACCAAAAGCACGAACAGCATGTATAAGTCGAAATTAACTTCATTCAATCAAAAAAAATATTTTTTTTAAATAATATTAACTTTTTAATAAATTTTTTAAGACAATTAAAAAATGCACATTGTTATTTTTTTTTTAAATTATTGTCAGTTATATTAACGAAATCAATATCGCATTTTTCTTTCAGATGAGAAATTATTTGGAAATTATTTTATTGTATTGGAACCAGCATTCTTTATCAAATTGAACCACTCATGATGCTTAAACCCTATTACCTTCAAGCTTCTTCATATTCGGTAACAATCTTAGACTTATTTTTGGAATTTTTATCACTACGTTATCGAATTTCGGTACCATGACAACTGGGTATAGACTTATGAATGTCCACGAGTACTTGTAGCTCATTCTTGATTCTGAGCGAAAATTGTAAAGCGGGAAAAATAGATGAATTTAGCTCCGAATTTCGACAGCACTGTCATTTGGTAAAATGCAAGAGACTACGTGATGTTGAACATGAATTGTTTATGATTTGTATTAAAATCGTTCTCTCTGGAAACAACCAAAACAGGTATTCATGAGTTTAAATGTCTATGCCATGAACATTTAATAATCCAATTCAAGAATAAACAAAAACACACACATGAATTATATATATATATATATATATATGAAAATGTGAAAGAAAAAATATAAAAAAAGGATTCCTGTTTAAAATAAGCGAAGAATATTAAATAATTTCTATATATATATATATATAATTATATATATATATTATATATATATATATATATATATATATATATAAATATATATATCGGTTTATATTCTTCCAGGTTTTATTAAAAAAATTTCACAAAAGGAATAGAAATTTATAAATTCTTTCCTGTTTAAAAATGGAGTTTCTCGGTTCCTTCTAAAGTTTCCTCATTCTCTTTCATAAGAAATTTACCCTTGCAGAAAAGTAGCATTAAAAAATTTTTAAAAATTGAAATGATATTTTTATAATATATATATATATAATATATATATATATATATAAAATTTCAATATATATATATAAATACAATATATATATATATATATTATAAATTTTCGACATTCATATGACCTTCTATGGATTGATAATTTTCATTACGTGCTGTCATCAAGCGGCCAATTTTGGTCTTTCGGAGATATGAACATTTACGTCCCCGGCTTTTTCTGTGTTCTCTTTTTTTATTTGTTGACGTTTGAGTTTTTAATTTTTTAAAATAGATCAAAAATTAGCGATAAAGAGAGAAAGGAAGATTGACTTGTATAGATAGCTAAAAAAATTGAATTCAATTCTTTAAACCTTATAAAAAAAGAAATTCAGCTGGTAAAAGTTAACCGAATAGAAAGATTTCATTCAAATTTAATTTTATTTATTTATTTATTCATTTTACCTTTAATTTTTCGTGTGGTGTATGACAAGAAGCTGGCGTCCTTGAATTTTTTTTTAAAAACAGAACAAGTGTTTCGAATACTTAGAATACTTAAAATAAAAACGAAAACTTACTTTTTTCAAATTTATTTTTTTCAAACCTGTTATAAAATTGGATACATGGCTCCTCATTGCAAGCTAGTAAAAAATGAGAACTTTAATATAAGTAGGAATAATGAAAAATTTATATAAGTTGGAATCGAGTTAGTTCAACGAAATAAACTTTTAGTGTTTTTATTTTTTTACTTTTAGCTGGTCAGTATTATATCCTGTGGCCATTAATTATTGGACATATCAACAAGTATCAGGCCATCCCATAAGTTCTGTCCGAATTTTAACTTTTTGTTAAAATGAACGAAATTTAAAGAGTATTTTATAATGTCTAATGGAGCTGAACATTATTTTTATGTTTAGATGCATATGAACTGATCAAATTTTATTTCAGAGAACAATAAAATTAAATTTTGTTTGATTAAAACCCTGCTAACATGGAAGTACCCAAGAATCATTTGAGGCACATAATGCTTTATGAGTTCAAGAAAGGAAACTCAGCAGCCGAAGCGGCTAGAAACATTCACTCAGTTTATGGAGAGGAATGTGTGAATGAAAGAACTTGCAGAAGATGGTTTGCAAAATTCAGAGGTGGAGATTTCACCCTTGAAGATGAAGATCGAACCGGACGTCCAGTTGAGTTTGATGAAAAGCTTCTTGAAGCAGCCCTTGAAGAAAATCCTGCTTTATCAGTTGAGGAATTGGCAGTGGTTCTCAGTTCAAACCATACAACTGTTCATCGTCATCTTCAACAACTTGGAAAAGTTCCTAAACTTGGAAAATGGGTGCCTCATGAATTGTCTGAAAACAACCTCAAATCCCGAGTTGACATCTGCTCTTCTCTCCATTCTCGCCAACTTGTTTCACCTTTTTGGATAGACTTGTGACTGGCGACGAAAAATTAATCTTTTATCGAAATGTTAAGCGTCGTAGACAGTGGCTTGGTAAAGGGAAGGACCCCAGCCACAGCCGAAAAGGGAACTTCATGGGCAAAAGGTTCTTCTTTCAATCTGGTGGGATCGCCAAGGAATAATCCACTTTGAATTCTTACCACCTAATGCAACAATTAATGCTCAAATATACTGTCAGCAATTAGAGCGTTTGAACCAAGCTTTGAGGAAAAAAGACCTGCTCTAGTGAATCGAAAAGAGGTGATGTTTCATCAGGACAATGCGTGACCCCACACAGCAAGAATCACGTCACAAAAGATCGAAGAACTTGGTTGGGAGAAAATTCCTCATCCACCTTATTCTCCCGATCTTGCTCCTTCAGACTACCATTTGTTTCGTAGCTTACAGAATAATTTGGAAGAAACAGGTTTTTTGTAACACAGGAAGAGGTTAAAACTGACATTTGTGAGTTCTTCGAATCAAAGCCAAAAGAATTTTACAGTAATGGAATTAGTAAGCTTGTTAATAGATGGAAGGAAGTCATAGATAATCAGGGAAAATACATTGTTGATTGAATCTGTAATTAAATGTAACATTTGGTAACTAGTTACATTCCATCACCACTGATCACACCGCCAGTCACGATGAAAGGATGTCCCCTCGAGGAGGCACCGTGCCTTGAGATGATATTGGGCCTCAAACTCACATCCGACCTCAAGTGGAACTCTTATATACGATCCATCGTTAAAGTTGCAGGTAAAATGATCGGCTCCCTGTACCGCTCCACTAAGTACACCTGACTCATGCTATCCACTATCTTTATAATAGCCAGATCAGGCTGAAAATGGAGTACTGTTGCCATATTAGGACAGAAGCTGCCTAGATTTCATTTTTCAGCCTTGATAGAGTTAAAAAGCGTTTCTGAGTCTTTGTTGAAGAATTATTTTTCACCCTCCAACCTCTCTCTCTCTCTCTCTCTCTCTCTCTCTCTCTCTCTCTCTCGCACAGGCGGGATGTGACGAGCCTCTCACTACTCTATCGCTACTGCCATGGAAAGTGCTCGGGCGAACTGTATCTCCTGGTTCCACCAGGTCTGACCTTCACGGCTAGTACCCGCCATGCCACTTACATAGTAGTAAACCACCGTCATTGCCCCCGTGTTCAATAGGCGGGAAGTTCCACTCAAACAGCTTTCTCCGCGAACCACTACCCTGTTGAACAGACTCCTAAAAGAATGTTTCCCCGGTCACTAGAATCTTAACCTGTTCAAGCCTAGTCAACCGTTAACTTCCCCTATGCATATAAACTACCCACGAATGTAACCCTTTACCTCAAGTGCCCCCCTGGCCTTGTACAGGGTGAACTTTAGTTGGCTATTAACATTTTCTTGATGTTATTATTTTCTCGAAATAACTCTAAATGACATAACATAAAGTAACTAACATTCATTTTATGACCAGAGATGAAGATCTTAACACGGAATGATAGACCTAATCTTGGCAGATTGAATCAGTTGTTATTCTTTATTTGACATTGTATCAGTTTTTCTCTTTTTTTTCTCGGATTTCATATTCTTTCAATGAGGAATTAAAACATTTCCAATATATCAATCTGTTAACATAAAACTTAGACGATTTAATGAGTCACCCATTAGATCGTCTAAGTTAATTGATTGATTTGCTTTTACAGCTTAACCCCTTGAGGATTATTTAAAGCCAAAATATTTGGGGGCATTGTAAGAATAATACTTTTTGTTGTTGTTGTTTTGTTTGTTTTTTTTTTATTTTCTTTTATTTTATTTTGGCGGTTTTTTTGTGGGGGGCGAGTGAATACTGCATTAATAATTTTTGAGAATAACAATGATTTGTTTCAGATACAAGCCCCACTATTTAACCCACAGCTGAAAGGAGAGATGGGTATTCGTCTAGACATCATATCGAGTAATTCCCCTTCATGGCGTTTCTCTGGAAAGGCTCTTGTCCATCTTCTCTCCAACTAACATACGACTCTATTGGGTTACATGATACATGACGTAAGAATCGATCCCTGATCTAATCTATTGCTGAACACTTAAGGTAGATTATATTTTAAATGCTCAAACTATCCCAATATTTTACCCGTAATTCTAGCTGGGGAAGACAGGTAATTAGGAATTAAGACGATGTTAAAGCAATATCTGAATTCGAATTCGGTTCGCAGATTCTATTCCCCCGTGACGTTAACTGCTAGGCTATCAACATTTTATTTAAGAAACAGTTTCAGAAAAAAATACATGATATTTTCATTTGTATTTGTTCTAATTACTCACTTATATTTTTGACATCAATCCATTGATCAACTGTTAAAATTTCTGTAGCGTATTTAAACCAGGAAAGATATTTTAGCCACACGAAATACGATGGAATACTCCTGCAATGCAAAAAATAAAAGATTTTAACAAATTTGTTTCGATAATAGCAATGTTGGAATGAAAGAGTAATGCATACATTTTTAAAATTGTCTAAAACTATCCCACTGAACGTATACGTGTCTCCCCCATTGGGTTAATGGTTAACGAGCTTTTAGCATTATAAGCGAGTAGTAAGAATGATCTTTAGTGGAGATCCCATTGTTGAAATTTAGCCCCCAAACTAAAATTAGTCTTTTGAACTGGAGCAGAGGTTTATCCCTTGTTTCCTGTCTGGAATTGGTTTCCTGCTCCCTCTAAAGTATTCTTATTCTCTTTAACTACCAGTAGCCTCTTGCGTCTTAGTGGCATCATTGAGTTGCTTGGAGTGAATTGATTAATAAAAAAATTGTTTGGCGGTCAGTGAATTCAGATGCCAAAATGTGGCAACGTGATATAGCAAGTTAGTCTTGATGCGATGCGAATTTGCTGTAGTGTAATAGTTTGTAAGCTAGTCTTATAGCTGATTATTACTGAATAATGAGTTCGATCCTCATTGGGTATCGCCATAGTACTCGTCCAGAAATATCTAAACTATCAGCTGTATACAGCCACTTTCTCAGGTTGATGGTTGAAAATAGTTTCCTGAGAATGAAGTAGGTAGGCTTCAGCGAAGACCATCTTTCCTCGAACCTCCTAGACTGGCGCTACACAATCACAAATAAAGAATTGTGCCAAATAATATAAACCATATCACTTGAGGACTAACAACAGCAGCAATAAGTAAAATGGACAGCACATATCACTCGAAGAGAAAATAATTACGTAACCAAAATGCTGACGTTCCACACTACCCCAGACAAAAGGTTAGGAAGGAAACCCCGTTACTACTGGAAAGAGCGTTAACAGCTACTTGACTTGAGAAACTTATGTTTCTGAAAAATTGTTTTAAGAGAATTTTTTTTTTATAAATTTCAATCGACAACAGCAATGGCTGTTCAGTTAATGAATGCTGAATGTTTCCTTATAAGGAAACGGCTAACACTACCATTACCATTACAATAATAAAGAAACATACATTAAACCGACTTCATTCACTCGAAACCAGTTTTAGTCATAAAAATGTCTACAACCAAATCTTTTCGTGACAATTTTTGAAGTGTAATGACCATTAGCAATGTATTTACATTATAAATAAATTGAAAAATTTGATTAAGTCATCAAATCCCACTTTTAACCGTTAATATTACTAATGTAATATACTCATGATTCTATTGAACAAATATCAATTTCTTGCATCAAGACGAACACTAGCAAAGAATGAAGGATTACTCATTCTTGTGTGAAACAGAACGACCCCATTCTAGCTATGTCTCCGAATATTTTCCACATGTTTTCGAACAGAACATGGACGCATATTCAATGACCGACTTTTAATTATTGTTATATATTTGCTGAATGTAATAAAAATGGCGTAAATCTACTTTTAATATTTCCTGTGGCACTATCTGAAGAACCACGTGAATATCTTCGTTGTGAACTGATGTGTATGAAGGATCTAAGAATTGAACTGTTGTGTTTGAATATTTTCGATATAAACTGCTGTATTATGAATATCTTAGGGGTGAACTACCGTGAACTACTATGAATACCGTCGAAGTGAACTGCTGTATATGAATATCTTCGAGGTGAACTGCTGTATATGAATACCTTCGAGGTGAAATGCTGTATATGAATACCTTCGAGGTAAACTGTTATATATATATATATATATATATATATATATATATATATATCTTAGAGGTTAACTGTTGTATGTGAGTATCTTAGAGATGAAATGTTGTGTGTGAATATCTTAGAGGTGTACTGTTGTGTGTGAATATCTTCGAGGTGAACTGCTGCATATGAATATCTTCGAGGTGAACTGCTGTATACGTATATCTTTGAGGCCAACTGCTATGTATGAATATCTTATAGGTGAACTGTTGTGTGTGAATATCTTAAAGGTAAACTGGTAAATAAAGGTAAATATTTTATTTACTAACAGTCCTAATTCTTCAAAGATAAGAAAGTGGTGTATTATTGAATGATTATTATGTAACAAATAAACTTGAATCAATGGTGGTGTATCTCTAGTAGATAAATAAAAGGCTGTAGCTTACTTATTGTTCACAAAAATTCCTCCAAAAATCATTAACGGTATCATAAGTGGTGGAGCCAAAGCAAGAGCTGCTGTGACGGTGCGTGCTATACAGGAAACCATGTATCCTACAAAATATTTTAAAAATTGGAAACAAAAAATTTTTTTTAAAAAAACGGCCTGCAATTATCAAAAAGATTATGTTAAAATTATAACATTGTGAACAAAGTATAACAGCAGAGACCAATTTTATTCGAACTCAGGATATACAATATAATATTCTGTCTTCTTTGTGCTGCTTTCCTTACTCCCCCGTCACCCAATAGTCGTGTTTTGTGTTTATTTTTTTCGATGATCGTGTTCTCGGCACAATAACATCTTTATATATCTGCATTCATTACTCTCTTTCTGTTTGAAAATTTAACATCTCGATTAATTAAAAATTGGCGTTAAATATTTGAAAGAATCACTATCCTGCGAATTACAAGGAAATTGTTAACAGCAAATGAAAATTCTCTACACAGATATCAAAATTATTAATATTTACTCTCTCTCTCTCTCTCTCTCTCTCTCTCTCTCTCTCTTTATGCAAGGACCCTACAGAGCCTTAGTTTCCTGCCTTTTCTTTCTCCCAGCAATACTTTCTTCTTTATTATTTGTCATTCGATTTATGGTACTCAAACTTTTCACGTAAGATACTCGCTGCTTTCTCCAGATACTCTTGCCTTTGATATGTCCTGTGTATTTTAAATTCACCAATACTTCTTTCCTCGTTATATGTCCAAAACACTTCAGTTGTCTCTTTCGGATAATTAGCATCAGTTTCCTTATATCTACACTATTTACAATGTCCGGAATGTTGTCATATTCACAGTTGTATGCTCCGGCCTTCTTCAGGTAATTGGACTTTCGAACCAAACCCATTATTTCGTCTACCGAGGTGGACTGTTCTAGTTCCATGTACTATGCCTCTTCCGCATAGTTTTAGCTATTTCCATTTAGTAACTCAAATTTCAATTTTTTTTGTTCGCCTCTGCTGTAGCTAGGTATTGAACTCGCAATTCTTTGGATCAAGTCACTGGATTACTTCAACCAACGCTTTTATCCACTGGACCATGTGTCCTTGTGCACAACAGACGAAACATTGTGAATATGACAACAAAGATGAGAACAACAGTCCGAACAATTTAAATAGTGTAAATAGTTACAATACCTCATCACAGAAATATAGACAGGTCCTGAAGAAGGCCGAACCGTACAACAGCAGAAACGTCGCGAATATGACAATAAAGATGAGGCCAACAGTCCGAACAATGTAAATAGTGTAAATAGTTACAATACCTCATCACAGAAATATAGACAGGTCCTGAATAAGGCCGAACCGTACAACAGCTGAAACGTCGCAATATGACAACAAAGATGAGAACAACAGTCCGAACAATTTAAATAGTGTAAATAGTTACAATCCTTCATCTCATAAATATGGGCACATCCTGAAGAAGACCTGGGCGTACAATGGCCAAAACGTCTTGAATATGACAACAAAGATAAGAACAACAGTCCGAACAATTTAAATAGTGTAGTTACAATCCTTTATCTCAGAGATATAGACAGTTTCTTTATAGTTCATATATTCCTTAAAACGTCCATGTTTCTCACATTATCTCAAAATGGTATACTTAACATTCGTCGGTAGGACCTCATCTCTGTCGCTTCAAGTCTCTTCTTCGTGTGCAAGGAAATCGTGTAGTTTTCACTGCCAAATAGTAGCTTAAACAGCAGTTCAACCTTCGATCATATCACGTTGAAATACCTAAGTTAAGCAGCGTCGAGCCTGGTCAGTACATAGATGGGTGACCTCTTTGGAATACCAGGTGGTGTAAGCTTGGATGAGTGGGTGGTGCAATAGATAGTGACACGGAATTGTTAACCGGAGAGCCGAGTTCGAATTCCAATCGGGTTTGTTATATTTACTTGCGTGCAAATGCCATTACGAAAGGTGTTTAGGTTCACTCACATCATAGAATCAGAAATTAGTCTTTTGTCCACGGAGATAAAAGCATAGTTGACAGGAAATACCTCGCACACAAATAACAGGAAAAACATGGCAAATTGTATGTTAATTTCATACAATTTATTTATATTTTTGTGTGTATTTGTGTGTGTATGTTTTAGGTTACAATTGTTTTATGTTACATGAGATAAAAGGGAGAATTTACTCCGTAGTAATACAAGTCATATCACAGAGAGAAGTTACACACGTGTTGCCCGTACCAAGGTTCGTGGTGAAGAGATTGAATTTAACGTCTTTTGGCGGGATATCCATATTTCCGGCAGGAAAAGATTTTGTTGCATTCTGAGGGTATTTTTATTATTTTTAATTTTATTTATTTTATACAACATTTTTATGTTAATGTTTTATTTTATTTATAATTTTCATTATTATTATTATGGTATAGTTTATTTTTATTTATTCATAATAATAATAATAATAATAATAATAATATCACTACAAAGGTATGAATCCACCTCTTCTCCTTCCCAACTATGGGTTAATTAGTAAGATTTGTTTCACCAAATTATTATCTCAATCCCCCCTCCAACCCACAAAAAAATTCTTAAAATCTAAAAATATTTTGTGGCTTTAAATAACTTGCAATGGGTTGGTAGGCCATCGAAAACAAATCAATCAGTCAGCCTTCTTTTTTCGATTATAATATTATTCTTAAACCCCGTAAATTTCTTTTAGAATTTGAATCACAATTAATTTCTGTTTTGGGGAACCAATTGTAATATCTGGAAGAATGAAGTTGATTAACAAAAATGGAAATTATTTCTGACTCAATGTAATATCTTCCTCAGTTGCTGAAAAGTGTATTTTGCTATTTTTGTGAACCTTTGAATTTCTGTGTCACAGTTTCCGTCTTCTGGTACGACTCAAACAAGGTTAAAAAAGAGAACGGGTTTTTGCTGACAGAGCGCTCCAAAGGTAACAAAAAGAGATCAGGTGACAGTTCAAATTTCATTGATAATTTTAATATTGTCACCCGTTTTTATTAGATAATATCAATATAGACAAATATATTACCATCGACACAATGAAATTACTCTAAAGAAAAACAGTTATTTAATCTTTCACGAAGTTATTCATCAAAATATCGTGTCTCGCAAGTGAATCACTAGCAGAAGAAAATTATTCACACCTCTACGAAAATTATTAATACACAAGACAGATTAGAAAATAACGTCAATTTAAAGATAGAGACATCAAAAATGTGCCAGTGAATCTACCGCCACCCTACCCCCCGTCTCGAAAACTAAATCATGACAGCTGATAAGAGCTTTACTTTCAGTTATCACATCCCCGGAGCAACCTTCAAAATTATCATATGATATATATATATATATATATATATATATATATATATATATATATATATATATATATTATTTATTATGAGATTAAAACAATAACATATTTAAAATCGCTACACAATAGCTTTCATGTTTCAGTTTTAACAAGTTTTTGTTTTAATCTCATATAATAAATTATTATTATAAATTTATTATTATAAATTACTTTTGTTTTAATCAATATTAATGAATAATTAAGCTCTACTCTGAATTGAGCCCTTTTAAAAAATTAAATGCTACAGACAGTGGAATTATACCCCATGTGTTCTTATCCCATACCTGGATATATATATATATATATATATATATATATATATATATATATATATGTGTGTGTGTGTGTGTGTGTGTGTGTTTTTATCCTAGGATATTACACTAGAAGATGTGTAAAACCGCACATGTTCTAATGTAATACCTAAAATAAAGAATAATGCTCTACTATTGTATTGAGCCCTATTTTATATATATATATATATATATATATATATATATATATATATATATATGACCATATATATATGATTTATATATGATTATATTTATGATTTATATTTTAAGCTACAAATGTTTCAAATCTAGCAAGTGGCTTATAACCTACAATATTTCAAGTTAAACTGATCTGATAAAGTTACTCCCTCAAAAAAATAAATAAGTACAAAATATGTCTACCATAGTTGATATTACGTAAGACTCCCTCCTTTACCCCTCCAAATGTTTAAAATATATATCCCGAATCTTATATTATAAGCTAATGTTTACTGTGACGCTGCATATTGTGTCTCGCCTAACTCAATAATATTGAAGTATTAAATGAAAATGGAGAACGATAATTGTATGCCATGAAATACTTTAATAAAGATCAGAAAAATCAAAATAAATTAAAAAGGGTTTACCTAAAGTAGGTTTTTATTTATTTATTATGTAAAACTAAGTTTGAAGCCATTTAAATTAATCCTTTAAGAACTGGCAGCTAAAACAAAAATCTTCACGATACGAACGATCATTGCTCTCTATACAGCCACCTTTCCTTTGTAGCACGAAGCAATGTTTGTCCGCTTATCATAGGACCCCACTCCTTTCTCTACCATCCGTTTTCATTATCATTAAGAAGGTTATAAACTGTTTCCCTCTGTCCTCTTGCCTTCATTATGTCCTTAGAGTGCCAAATTCTCCAAGTCTTCCCTCCTTATTGTCTCCAAAGATTTTCAACTGTCTCTTTTATTGAGAGTACAAGTGTCCTTTTCACGCCTATTGCCTTTAAAACTTCCTCGTTGCTCACGTGTTTCAGGAGTTTCCGAGAAAAAAAGCTGTCTGCGTGGAACTTACTTTTTATCAGAGGAACACGGAACACATGGCAATGGTTTTCCTCCGTAAACATGTCATGGCGGGTATAGGACTCGCCATGCCTTGTTTACCTGTGAAGGTCTGAACTGGTGGAACTAAAGGATACAACTCGTCTGAACATCTGCCATAGCAATAGCGTGAAAGACTGGCAAAGTTTCGTCTGTGGGATAAGAACTGTAGGGTAGTGAATAATTAATCATCCACATGTCCGGCATATCAACACCTCTATGGATTATTTAATACCGGAATCTAAATATTTTGAACATAGTTTTATGCCTTCAACTACAGATAAAATGTATCGTTGCTCATTTTGCTATAAAATTTATTGTTGGTAAGTCTGTTTTAAAAATGTAGTGTTCGTAATTTTACTATAGATAAACATCATTGGTAATTGTTTTATATATATGAAAATGTATTGCTGGTATTTTTACTATAAACATATATTTTCAGACTTCCACAGTGTGTTTTTTTTTATTTGTGTGTTCACTATCTACCCATAACTGGGACCCTAACAGGTGTTACCCACCTACCCCACGAGTCAGGGTGGACCTGGGAACAGCAATTAAGTGATTGTTCCTAGCTCCTCAAAACCTCCAATCTTCTGATTGAGGCCTTGGTGCCGGATGTAGTTTATCGTATGTACAGACGAGTACATCGATTAATTTGTAATGAGAAGCACAAAGCTTCGATAGAAAACACGAATAGTAATCATTTTTATCAAGTAACAGAGGGCTCAAAATGAAAATATATATCTATAAGGCGAGAAAAATCGCTTTTATAATTTCATCTAGCAAGTTTTTAATCTAGCTTGTTAGTCTCATCCAATACAGGCACATTCAAGGTTCACTTCCGGTTCGTATTTTTTTTTCATGTACCCCTCTATTCATATGTAACAAACCTAACAAAAAAATGGTTAAAAAATACATCTTATATGCGAATTTGTGGTATCTAGAAGGAAGGCTTACTTGTACCTAGACCCACTCGTTAATACTTTAATATTAAATGTAATTAGAGAGATATAGGCTATAAGATGTACGCTCCTCTCTGTACCAGAATAACATATAATTAAATAATTGTCAAGGTAACAAATAGTTAAATTACATGCTTACATGATTATCTAGTAGGTTAGCATTAGAGTGAGAGGGGAATATCTTTTTGTTTGATTATTCGTGTCCAAGGCGATGTGCAGATATTTAGCATGGCACAAATATACGATTTCCATTTGAAGTCGGGAGTGAACTTTAAACCCAGTAGTCATTCGAGGCAAGAAACATCTTTGACAGTATGACAACTCAGCAGGATTAGTGAAGGTTTAGGGACTGCTCAGTGTTGATGAAATGTTACGAGTTTAGTTTTGGATGTATTGAATTACCATGATGGATTGAAAAGGCTGACTATGAAGGAGTGATGCTAGAACTGTGAAATCTTGCATCTTTCTCCGGTGCTTCCTATCACTTGTAGCCCTTTGCAGTTTTTCTAATTTTGATAAAGTTACCCCCCCCCGTTCAACCATCCATCCATTCACACAAGCTCGTCAGATAGGTTGCTCGCTGTCTTCTCCTATCTCTCTTGCCCTTAGGATGCTCTGTTGGGGTCAAGTTTTCCAAGCCCTCCTTCCTCATTATGTAACCAAATAATTTCAGCTGTCTTTTCCTGATTCTGAATACAAATGTTCTTTCGATGACAATTTTCTTTAAGAGCTTTTGCTTCTACCCGGGCTCAAAACACCGGTCTCTGGCTAATACGTAACTATGATAACGACAAATCGGTTTGTTTGTGAAAGACATTCTTAAGATCTTAATAAATTAATCTACATTCGAAATAATGGCTGTGAGAAATAAGCTTTCTGCTTAATTCGCAGTTACATCAATAATTACATTAGTTTTCTTTTTGCATATTTTTTCCAAAATGGAGATGTTGAGAAATTTAAAGATTTCTATAATAATTACAAGATTTACAAAGAAGAATAGTTTTGTATTCACACTTACCAAAAGATGCAGCGACATTACTGACCAAAATTACGATACCACAAGCAATCAAATATTTTGATACATCATCGTACAGCCCTGAAAAAATATATATACATTTGAATATATATTTACATACACCTTTTATATTATATATATATATATATATATATATATATATATATATATATATATATATATATATTATAAATTAATTGATTTAAAATATGTTTTTCCGCTACACAGTTCTAACCATGTTTCAAAAAAAGAAGCTAAAAAGCCCCGAATTTAATTTTGCAATTAAATTAAAAGCCTTTATTTCCATTTCATTCTCAAGCGAATTTTGGAGTAACTTAAAAATTACTGGGTTACTCCAAAATTCGCTTGAGGATGAAATGGAACTAATGCTTTTAATTTAATTGCAAAAATTAACAAGGGATGTTTTTAGCTTCTATTTTTGAAACATGGTTAGAACTGTGTGGCGGAAAAAACATTTTAAATCAATTAATTTATAACATTATGCTCTGTAAATTTACATTGAGCACTATTTTGTAAAAATAAAAATATCTATAAGAACACCGGATTATATATCTTACTATTTCTTTCTTTTATTTATATACATTTATTTTTATATATATATATATATATATATATATATATATATATATATATATTTTGTAAAATTACTTATCCTCCGACTTGAAGTTTCATAGAGACACAATTCCGCATGTCAGACTAAGATAACTCTAATGAATTCATTAACAGATATAACCTTCATTATTTATTTTAAATTCATTACATAAAAAAATAATTATCAACGTTTACTGAATTTTTAATTTCTTCTTTACTAAAAATCTTATAACTAGATAGCCTTGATTCTGAAATTGTTCGTTAATGGATTTTACGATTATAAAAGACATTTGTAATGAATTTGATACATTTATCTTACCCTGAATGACGGAATGGTGTCTCTGCGAAACTTCAAGTTGGAGGGATAAGTTATTTAACTTATTATTATTGCTCTGAATTTTTTTTTTTTGAGCACTTTTGTTTTTATTTTTTTATTTTTATCTTATTTTTTATTTTTTTATTTTCATTTCTATTTTTATGGATTTTACCGTTATAAAAGACATTTGTAATGAAGTTGATATATTTATTTTATTTTTTATTTTTTCATTTTTTTAATCTTGAGCACTTTATTTGCAAAAATCTGCTCGCCTTGAACGCGTCACCCTCCAGTAATTTACTAGCCCTCATGATTTGATAGGTGTAAAAGATCTTTGATGATAATGATGATATCATCATCATCATCATCATCATCATCATCATCATCATCATCATCAAATAAGAAATGAACAAATAATACAAAAAGCAGGAAATAATACAAAAATGCGGGCGTTGTATAAAGAGCTAATAATGTTAAATAAAATCTTGATTTAGAATTTATTACAATGGTTTTTAACCTTTTTACAGTACCCGTACCCCTTCAAGATTTAAAAATCTTTCACGTCCTCCTTGAACTTTGGGCTAAAAGAAAATAAATTTCAAAAATAAAAAATCGCAAACTTAATATAAAAATGGTGTAACGAACAAAATCAATTTCTATTTGGTATTTGAATTTTAAAATCTCTTTATCAATAATAAAAAAAGAACTTATGTATATATTTCTGAGATACGTCATTGACTGTTTTCACTGTTTACATTGTTCGAACTGTTGCCCTCATCTTTATTGTCACATTCTTGACGTTTCGACCGTTGTACGCTCCGGCCTTCTTTAGGAGGTATTTGTTGGAATTTCGAACCTAAAATAAAAGGCTGTTTTACAACGACAAAAACGATGACAGTAAATAGGAGGACAAAAATTAAAACAATGTAAATAGTGTGAATAATTTTTTTAAAAATGTTGAATATGCCGTCTACCGTTGTTTGTTCTTCAAATTAAAACATTCTTTCGTGTTCTTTTAGTTACCATTTTTATATACTAATTGTAATGTCATAAATTATAATTTATGTCAGAGTGTTAGTGTTACCATATAACCGAGAACCACCTGCCACATTGTTGTGTCATCAGCTTTTTTGGTGCTGAGGGTGGCTAGACAATATATCCACCAGGATTAAAAACAAGACGTGTTTAAAGGGCGGACAAACCTTTTTTAGGGGCCAACAACTACTTTGCTCCGTAGGTAGTTTATTAAAATCAAAAGTGGGAGATCAAAAATATTATATACTTACCAATCATCCAGTAATCGATGGTTATAAAGATGAATGGAAATAATATCTGGAAGGGAATCTGAAACAATCAGAATAAAAGGAAAGAAAGATTAATTTGGCTGAAGAATCAGAGTTTGCGTAAATACTTTCCCTCGGGCGTCCTGGATATGACGATGAAATACATCCGACAGAAAGGCCTCTCATCTGGTGGTTTTGAAGAAACGTGGAACCACCTCTTAATTGCTGATGTCCCCGTGTCCACCCTAACTTTCTGGGAAAATAGCTAACCCCTAAAGTGGGGTCAAAAGACTATGAATGTATAAAAATACATTTTTATAGTAAAAATATCAGCAATAAATTTTCATAGTAAAAAAATTACCAGTAATACATTTTCAAAAGAAATATATTACCACTAATACATTTTGAAAAAAATTATAGCAGCTATACATTATATATATATATATATATATATATATATATATATATATATATATATATATATATATATATATAACCACAGTAATACATTTTTGAAAAAAAATATTACCAGCAATACATTTTTTGAAAAAAAAATAAGATATTGCCAGTAATAGATTTTTGTCAAAAAATCAATAATAATAATAATTACCAACAATAGATTTTTTGGTAAAAAATTACCAGCAATACATTTTGAAAAGAAATTACTAATGCTCCCAAGCAAATTAAATTTCGGCATTAAATGACCTATATCTGATATACCGGTAAACAAACTAAACTAAACTTTTCCACCATTCCAATGACCTTACGACACATTTCACATATACTGTCTTCCGATCATGCAAGAAAATTCTGATTTCTTTCGAGGAATATTTCGATATTTGGAACATGTTGGAATCGCTGGCCACTCAATGGGTGCTTCATGAAGCGAAACAAACAGTACCCTGAAGGTGACAGGTGCGGAAAATATGTGACATTTGCAACATGAGTAAAAGTGTTTTCATCCAGCAAAATCAATCGCCGACTTCCTTGCCGCTTTTATCTTCCAACGTGTCATTCAAACGTGCCACTTGCTCACTGCAGCGTAATACAAGGATATTTTTCAATGGGACAACAATTCGCAATAAAGAAATTCCATTCAACCTGACTTTGGGCAATTTCAATACACCTTAACACCAAGAGATGGAAATTAATTCATTAACAAGAAACATGATTTTAAAAATATATAATAGACACACAAATTGTCTGTCCAAAAAATCTGCTTGAATATATATATATATATATATATATATATATATATATATATATATATATATATATATATATATATATATATATATTGGACTCTCCTGTCGTATTCGACGTATGAGGATCAAGCAGCTCAATTCCTAGGAACCGACAGCCAGACACTAGCACATATCATTTAATTATAGTGGCAAATGCTTTGTATAAAACCAACCACATTTTTAGGGGGGGGGACGTATAGAGAGACTTGGTGCACTACGTGTCCCCATACGACCCCTCGCAGCTTTTCAATTCACAGTTTTCCTTCTCCAAGACCAGTTGCTATCCAAGGCTATAGAACCCAGCCTGTCCTGCTAATTACCCATAGCTGGAGGGAGAAGAAGAGGATTAATACCTTTCCCAAAGGTATTAGCACATGATTATTGAATATAATGGGTTCGACTGAAATTCGAAATTGGCTCTCCGATTCCTCAGTCCTAGCCGCTATTCATATATATATATATATATATATATATATATATATATATATATATAAAAATAAATCAAGCTATTGGTAAAGCGTCTAAAACAATCCTACCAACGGAAACTGGAAAAAAAGCATGAAAACTTACAAAAGTAGGACACTTACCTAAACCAAAACCTAAAGTGCTCAATGTCTCTACAAATGAGACTAAGACAGAGTAGTAATGCTAACGAAAGCAAAAAAGCGGCATTCAGTTCCTGAGTTCTGTTTTTTTTTAATATATATATATATATATATATATATATATATATATATATAAAAGGCTTAAACACTAATATTCCTATGGTCATAATTTATTCCATTTGAAAAAAAAATACGATCCAATTCATCAGACCTACAAATTCAAAAAAAAAAACAGAAAAAACAACTCCGGGAATAAAAAATAAAATTTAGTGAGAGTGTATGTATGAGAAACTTTGGGACGAATGTTAGAGTAAATGAAAGCTATATGGAGGGGTAACAGACGAGAGAAGAACAGGAGGTTAAAAAGATGAATCACCAAGGTATAAAAATTTATATATATATATATATATATATATATATATATATATATATATATATATATATATATATATATATATATATATTATATTATATATATCCCAAATATATATATTAAATATTTATATATGAAAATATATATATATATATATATATATCGATTCGTCATCAAATGAGGATCCGACAACCTCATTCATTTTTATTTTTGTGTCGTATGTGACACTTAAGCCCGGCTAGTGACCTGCGTATAAGTTCACATATTGTGCAACAGCGAGATTTCGGGACACACTAACAGAAATATTTGCTGACGCTTTTTGCTGTATTAGTTCTCAAAGTGACCACTTGGCGGCGGTGGCGTCCTTTCAATTATAAACAAAGACGGGTGTAGAGTATAAAAATTACGATACATTAGCGCGTGCGTGAGAAAATAGATGTGAGAAATTTGTAAATTTTTGTTATTTTGATTAATATATCTATATTAAGTATATATTTATCTATGCCATACATATACATGTTTATAGTATTTACATTATGATCTAACTACTGATAGTTACTATATTGCTTTTATAACTCAAATATAATCCCTTCCCATTTACGGACAATCGGCTTTAACGAACCACCCTTTCCCCTTATTAGTCCTTTGATGAGAGGTTTCTTTGCATGTGTATATGTGTATGTATAGATATATGAGAGGCATCAACCCTCTCCCAGAACGCAGATCGAAGGAGTCTCTTACATGTGATCAATGTGAACACATTTGCTTTTCAAAAGCAGGTCTTCTCAGCCACACGCGGAGACATCGTATGTCAACTACCAATATGGCTTCCTCGATGATTATACATGTACAATCTGCCATAAAATGTGTCGATCAGCCAGCGGACTAACACGACATTTCCCCAGCCAGCATCCAGAAAAGCAAACTGCAGCAAGAAAACTGACATATCAGCAATGCGGAAAGAACTGCAAGAGTCTTGCAGGTCTTAAAAGCTATTTGAGATGTCATCTACGATAAAGTAATGAAAATCGAAATGGGTGAAAACTTAAGAAAGTTTGCATGTAAGAGACTGTCTTACTCGGTCACGAGTTGAGTTCCACCATGTATATCGATATATTTATGAGTGTGAGAGTCTGAACAGGCCTGAGCAATAAAATCACTGATACTTCCAAGCTTCAAATAAAAACAAAAAGCAATTTTCCTTACATCTGCAAGAGTTTTGCACAGGAAGTAGATTTCAATTGAGTAGAGTTTACTGTCATATTCTCTTTGAAACACCGGAATTTCCATTGGAAATATCTAAAAGAAAAAGTAAAAATATTAATCCGATAGTACAATTTTTATTCGGTGATATACATCAAAAATTTATTTGATGTAACCAGGGAAAGGTTACTAAATAGAATAATCAAACGAAGGTTAGTAATGAACGATAATACTTAGGACACGAACAACACATATAAGATTCGCCAGCGGCGCGTAGAAGTAGTCAACTGACAGAAGTGAGTCAAGTGAATTCCACAATGAATCTCGAAGTGCAGGATAGATATCTACCACGCGGTCAGATGTAGCACAAGGCCGAATTTTATGTGAAGTATCCGAGCCCGTAGCCTCGGCCAAAATTTCCCCGTATAAAACGAGGTCGGGTAGCTGTTTCACGAGACGAGACTCTGCCCTTCGATATAGCCTCATCTGTAGATCCTCTCTGCCCAAAGTTAGAGAGTTTGACCAGCACAGCTGGAGGCAAATCTCTAACTGCAGGATATCTACCAACCACCCCACGCGGTTAGATATGGCACAAGGCTGAATTTAATGTGGGGTATCCGAGCCCGTAGACTCGACCAAAAATTCCCCGTAGACCCCGTATAAAACGGGGTCGAGTAGCTGTTTCCATAGACGATACTCTGCCCTTCGACATAGCCTTGTCTGGGGATCCTCTCTACTCGGAGACAGAGAGTTTGACCAACACAACTAGAGACGAATCTCCGACTACAGACCAACATACAGTATTTACTACTGTATTTATGTGAATGGGGACATACCCATTATCGACCGTAGATATGCTACAATAATCTTACAATCTAAAAATATTTTCTGGCTTTAAATAACCTTCAAAAGGCTGTTAAACTGTAAAAAAAACCAAATCAATGTGAAACTTAAAAATTAATCTGGTAAAGACTTATTTCACAATTTAAAAAAGTGATATATAAATAAATGCAGCTTAGTAAAATAAAAATTAAATCCTTAAAATTTTATAATGATTCAAATATAAGTACACAAATATTCCGACACAAAATTTAATCAGGACAAAATTGAGTGGACAATTGAAGCTGCTCTTGCTATTTAATAATTTATTTGTTTTAACTTTTTAAAAATTATAATACGTTAAACATACGAGATGAGTATAATTAGTGGGTCTAAGGAGTATTACTATTTGCCTATATTTCTGAGATGTGGTATTGTAATTATTTACACTGTTTACATTGTTCGGACTGTTGTCTTCATCTTTGTTACCATATTCACAACATTTCGGCCGTTGTACGCTCCGGCCTTCTTCAGGTGAACTGAACCCTTCATTTCGTCCATTGTCTCTTATTGTTCTAGTTATTGCCATGCCTTTTCCGGATGTCTCAGTTATCTCCCTTTAACTTAACTCCCCAAGTTTTTGTTCACCACTGCAATAGCAAGGTGTTGAACTCACATGTCACTGGATCCAACCAACGCTTTTATCCACTAAGCTATCAGTGTATGAATTTTGGGGACTTAAAACTTAGTATTATAATTACATGAATTTTGTTGTTCTACCAAAATAGGCAATTCTACATGGTTCTGGAATGCAGGGTTCCATAGAATCACTGGTATAGGTATATCAGTGACTTCTGGCTCGCTGCATTCCATGTATATTAGAATATTTGTTCAACCTAATGCATGTTCTGGATGGTATTCTTGTTTAAGTTGGTGAATGCTGCCATAATCCTTGCCTTCAGTTCATCTTTGGTATAACAAGGAATTGGTCTCTCGCTCAAATGCACCCCACACAATAATCAAGGGGGTTGCAGTCTGGAGAATTAGGTAATCGCGGAAATTGGCTGACAGCCATGACTGGGTTCTCCTGCTTGTGTGGTATAGTAGAGAGTCCTGTTGCCAGTCATCGGCCTACATCACTTGGGAAGATGAATGGAGGCATAACGTCACCATCACTAGTGACCACTACAAACACCTTCGTATTCACCCAATTCTTTCCGAATCCTCTGCACTGTCCTCAGATTAACACCCAAACATTCGTATTGGAACTTCTGGTGTGAATGCCAAGCAGTACAGCATGCCGTTTCCCAATGTTTGGGAGACTGAATTGCGTCATGGTGCTCTTTTTCTCACAGACGATTCACAACTGACCCTACTATACTGTGCTGTCGACAAAAATCAAAAACAAACAACGCGCATGCGCGAAATTGAAAAATATAAATGGCAACCCATCGCACCTTGTAGTATAATGGTTTTCATTTAAAATAAGTTTGGTTTTGGAATCTCCAATGCAAAACAAAAAAGGAATGATGCAATATCATTTTTATACGACATAGATATTTTTTAGATACGACATATACTATATGCAGATATACGGATAGTGTAATTCGGTGTAAGTACTTGGAGAACCAGGTTTCAATTCCAATTGAGTTCATTGTATTTATTAACTCACAAATATACTTGGGAAAGATATGTATCCATTTCTTATCTCCCCACCCCATAGCAAGACTTGTATCTGAAAAAAAAATCATTCTTATCTCAAAAACAATTTAATGAAATATTCACTTGCAAAAATTTGAATTCGTCTTACAATCCCCATAAATGCTTCGGCTTAAAGCCGAAGCATTTTTGGGGATTGTACATTGGTAGATAATCCGTAAAATGTCCAACGACGGTCACGTATTGTATTGAAGAAAATTTGATAGAATTACTTTTAAATGTGTGAAATGTATTATATTTTGCTTACGTTTATGACGATAAACTGACTCGAAAAAGACATGTTCGTTACGAGAATGAAGAGAAAACCATTGATGTTCATCACACCTTCTTGGTCCAGATTCTGTCGCAGGTAAATTAATCCAAATACTAAGCTGATCATCTAAAAACAAAAGCAAAGAAATGCACACTTATAAATATGTGTAGATTACAACAGTCAACCAGTAAGCGAAACAGCAACAGAAAATATCAATATATATTATGCTATTCGAAAAATAATGCTCAATTTTAGAATCAACTTTTATTCCTGAATGAATGTATTTAAACAGTGTTTAAATCCGTCAAAATAGAAACCCTGAAAATCTATAGATTTCTGCCATCAATTTACAAGATTATTTGTGCCTTTACGATAAAACTCTAAATGTTTGGTTGGTTAGTTGGTTTATTTTGTTTTACGGCATATCAATCTCAATGGGTTATTAAATGCCGACAAGATTTTTAGGGTAGGTTCCTATGTATAGGTTATATATTCTTTGTAAGAAATCAGTTTGTAGATCAGGTTTCATTGACGTATTTTGTAGAGGGTTTTTGTAGAATCTATTACAAGTAATTTTTTTTAAAATGTATTGCTGGTAATATTTATTTTTTAAAAATGTATTGCTGGTATTTTTAATATAAAAATCTATTTTTATACTTTCATAGTTTTTTATCCCAGTTTCAGGGTTAACTATTTGCCCATAGCTGGGACCCTAACAGGTGCTACCACTCTGGGTCAGAGTGGAACTAAGAACAACATAAACTCAGAGGTGGTTTCAAGCGCCTCAGAACCTTCCGATCAGAGGCCTTGCTACCGAATGTAGTTTATGATCATAACCAGGAAGTCGAAAGATTTGGACGCCGATAAATTTTTGAATGCAGTTTCTATCAATGGCGGACCACCAGACAATCACCATAAACTTCTATTGGTGCAATTACGGTTTTGGAAAGTGTTTGGGTCCTTCGTCATGATTAAGTCATTGAGCCGACCGTTAATGACTTTTGTAAAGGATCCATTTTTCATCGTAAGTCACTGTTCGATCAGAGGATGGATCATCCGAATTTCTCAGATGCAGTATCAAACACTCTTCAAGAAGTCGAACACTTTGACTTTCACTGAGATTTATGTGGGACATATTTCTTCACCTAAAGTAACATGGTTGAAAACAGACAAATACGTATTTCAAGAGAAAACATTTTAGCTACATATCTACTGAATGTATAAGAGAATAATTTGTTTATTCAGCGACTCGAATACATATTAGAAGACATGTGAAAAGGTATCTTACTGATTGGCTTTGTTATATATTGCGCCAGGGATGTGATCTCGACTTTGAACGGCGAAAAAAATGGAGGTTTAAATCATACATATTGTAGTTTCGAGAAATTGTCACCAACCGACAAGGCAAATTATTTTTCGCGCCTCTAGACAGACTATCAACTTTTGACAAGTGTATAACTATAGCTGAATCAAGTGCAGATGATTATTTGTAAAGCTACACTATTGTCGGAATGAAAGGACATATTAAGGGTAAAATAGAAATGCGACAACAGCACATAATATTGCTAATGATCTTGCAGAGTTTCGGTATAGCCATTCTACGATCTTCTTCAGTTGGGCAATTTGTGTGGAAAGATGGGATTTATTTTTCTCGATTGTCCAAACCAGAAAATGGTAGCAACTAGTTGACCGTAGAATGAATCGGCGAAACATTGTGGTGGCAACAATCACCACGAAAAAAAAATGAAACCAACAATTCGAACGACGCTTTTATTTATTTATTTTTATGTTACACCCATAAACAAGAAAATATCTATTTTACTTATAAAGAGAGATAAGCTATTAAAAAAGGTGTGGCAGAAACAAATTGTTCAGGAAAAATAGAATTTACTCACGATTGTTTGCAAAGCACGAAGTTTGAGACTCGCGGGATCGCGGATGACGGTAAGCCATGACCGCCATAAAACGATAAAGAACTGTTGTATTCTGCTTGCCGCGAACCTAAAAAGACACATTTTTCGGTTTGTTGCTTTTTAGTAGCCTTTGAAGTTGAAATGCAATTGTAAACTGACAAATAAAATTTACCAGCTGCTTAGAAGAAATAAACAAACATAAAATAAACAAAAAGAAATGATTTTTTATTCTATTGGGAACCTTTAGTATTGGATGCATTCAGAATAATTCCTGGTAAGAAACGTTCTTATGGTAGTTCCTATAAAAAGAAATTGATATGGTTGAGTGAACGAATGAGTTTGTGCAGTGTCTAGACCAGGATGTCGGTGACCTAAGGCACGCTTGCTACACATGGCTGCCAAGCAATTTCCAATGACACGAGGCAGCAAATGACGTCACGTAGTCCCGAACCAATAACTACTACAATGCAAAGAAGATATTTAACTGTTTCAATTTTAATATATACTAAAGTATATATACCATATATTACTATATAAAATATATTGTAGACCAGTTATACTGACCCTGACTTGTATAAAAATACGTATGCTGTTGACACACTGAATGATTTTAAAAACCTAAATCGTCACATAGTTAGCAAAAGGTTTCCGACCTCTGGTCTAGACCACGCTTTGTGTTCTGGGAGCGCGGAGATTAGCGTCCTGTCTTGTTTGCGATGTTGTCCGAAAAGCGCTGGTCTTTTGAAATTCTTGCTATGTTTGCTCGTATTTTCTTTTTCTTTCTTTTTTATGTGTGCTCATAACACCGAAACAGATTTCTACTGCTAATAGGGGCTTTTAAACTATTGCTGATGGTTAAATAAGGGTAGCTTTTTGCTATGATTTAATCTCAAACTGACGTGCTAAAAGTCATGAAATAGACGCCTCGTTTAGGATATTCTCAGAATCCTTCTGTAGAACTGTTACAGTGAAACACACCTATTCTATAGTTAATAGACTCTCCACCTATAATAAGTAGGAGTAGTGTGGAGTCGCTCAGGGATTTGGTCAGTCAGTCGAATGATGTCGGATGACCGTTAGTTCATGGATATTAAAGTATCAGCCACCACAACTAGATTACTGCATCATTACCTATTATATCAAGTTGCTAACGTTTTTTGTCGCTGCGAACCTATTTTAGGACCGACTTAGGTACAAATACAAGCCTCCACTGTGAAAAAGGGATCTGAAAGGATCGACAACTTCACGAAACCAATACCAAATGTTAATCTTTTTTATTTGCTTAAACCATAAGCTGAAATGTCTGATTCCTGACCAGGGTCCTTTTACGGAGGAAGGGATTTTTCATAAAACCATTTCCGCTATATATTATTTACCATATATTAAATAATATATTTGCAGTATGTATATATTGGGTTTAACAACAAAATTGTTCCAAATGCCCTGAACAGTAAAAACGCAAAAAACATTAATTTTTGAACCGTTGTATCTTGAAATGATTAAAATTATCTTTCACTAAAATTCCCTCAGAAGTTTTGATTAACTGGACGAAATTCTATCTAAAGTTACAATAAACAGAAGACTTATAACTGAAATAAAGAATAAAAAATAAACAAAAATATTATTTTATTTATAAATGTTCATTTTAATAATATATTTTTATACGCCGTTTTTTGTTCTATATATATATAAAATACGTCATATATATTTATATAGGGACCTCAGTTGTAACAAATAAATATCATTTTTTTATCCATTCCGAGTTCAGAATATATTACTATATAATTTTTAAACTAGCCAGTAATCTTAAAATGACTTGGAAAGGATTCTGTAATCCCCAATGTTTCGCATTTTAAATAATTTTTATCTACCGGACATTATTGATAACAGTTATCACAAGCACTTATTTCAGATAATGTCATGCAAAGGAAGACCAGTTGGAACCTTTATTAAAAACAAAAAAAAAAAAGTTAATAATAAAAATGTTTGAGTGGATGAAATATATTGACTTGGGTTTTGTGATTAAACATAATACAAAAACACCGATTTTAACCGGTAAAATATTTATTTTTAAAGAATTCTGGCGACTATTTATTCTAATTAATTTTTAAAAAAAATGAAAAATTTTTGAATTCATCGAAGAAAGGAAAAAGACATTATTTGATCGCATAACTCAAATTATATTTAAAAATTAAATAGTGGCACCTTTTTTGTCGCATATTCAATGAAAAAACAATTCACTATATATATTTTCATTCTAAATTCCTGTATAAAAAAAATCAATGATTATTGAATCGTGCGCGCGCATCTAGTCGCATGCCCTTCTCTATCATCTTTTATGTTTTTTTAGGATACTTGTATGTGATTAGAATCATTTTTAGTAGGATATAGATAAACGGTACCATGAAGTTGTTAATGGACTTTATGAGGAAAAAAGATTAAAGTTTCTACAAAATTCTATTTTACAACAAAACATTTTACAGATTTTTGGTGTTGTTAGTAAAAAAAACATGTTTTAAACATCTACACATGAATATGTCCGTATGTTTTGCCCAAACACTAGCTCAAGTCATCTAAAAAAAAAATAACAACGAATAAAAGTGATTCGGACGGTAGGGACAGCCGGATATTTGTCTTGATAAAGACCATACGTAAAGCGCATGCAAGAACACTGCCCTTTGTCTTAAATAAAAATATATATAATATTATCCTTGACCGCCATATATATAATATATATATAGTAATTAGTATAGGATTTATAAAAATGGGAAAATTAATTAGAAGGGAAATTCTATTTTTTGGCCAAACAATTTCATAAAGCACTGGAAAGCATTTTGTTCTATAATTGGGACTCATAATTATCTATTGTTTCCACTACCAGTATCGAACCCCTGACAGTTTGGTAATTCAAGCAAATATATATATATATATTATATACATACGTGTGTGTGATGTTTATTTTAGTTCAGACTCAAATTCCGCGCTCGACTATTCCGTATGGCGGAACTCAACTCAGGTTCTCTGGGCGGATGCAGGACTGTGGATTGGGTGGGTGAAGATCTCTCGTATCGCAAGCCGATTTACCAACTGGAGCAGTGAAGCCTTCAATATATATATATATATAGATAGTAATATATATATATATATTTTATATTATATATATATTAATTCATGTGTGTGTGTGTATCTCAACAGGAATGCAGAAAGCACTGGACGGACGTTATATATATATATAGGACTCATATACAATCTTTACCTAGATTATATATATATGTTGATATATATATATATACAGATGACTGCTGTGTATATATATATATATATATATGATCTGCATGATTGTTGAAATATTTCAGATTGTTTTCAAATTTTAGCCATTCTAACCAAAATCAGAATGGGCTAGGCCTATGGAAAAAACACACAGATTTGCTCCATTGTCTTCACAGGATTAAGCGGATTTTTGCTGTGGTACACATCCTTGTACACCACCATATGCCTTTTTACACACACAGGACACACGTTCATATATATATATATATATATATATACCGGTATATATATACACAGATTTTGTTTCGTCTCTCATGCGATTTTTGAATGGTCAGTGCCCGCAGGAATCGAAGTCATAGTTTTAACCATTGTCTCGTGTTTCCAGCTTGCAGTGCTGTCATATATTTGGTATATTTTCTTTCCTCAAATCCCTTTTTCACAAAGTCCCAAGTAGCTAAATTTTTCAGAACTGACTGTACTTAAATCTTAAGAAAATTAAAAAATAATATATATTGCGATCACTAACAAGGTTTCTCGAAAAAAAAAACAGATTGCAATCCATTTTTAAGTTAGCCTTATTTATTCTTTTATGGAATTCAAAAAATTTCCTTTTGGGCTTATGCTGAAACAATTTATTTCTGTAGCAAGCTCGCCATAAAATAGCTGACCTTTTGCAATGAAAAATCTATCATAGATGCAAACTAGTACGTATTTTCTCATCTGCTTTCCTTCATATTAGAGTCTTATAGGTGGGATTGAAGTTGCAGTGGTGTCTGGTATCTTATATATATATATATATATATATATTGTTATATATATATTCTTCATTAAGTGTCTTTCGGTCTATTAGAAACTTCAACAGAATTCGAGAAATACACCGTTTATTAAATCCTAGGGCTTTGGGACTTTTCAGTTCTGCGTCATGTCTCCGGAAATCTATTCTATTTCTTGGGTTGCTGCTCAGTGAAGCCATCATACCAACCAAATGGGCCTCATTGAACGGAGATTCCAAACAATTTACTCAACTAACACCGAACCAAAGTTTATTGTCTCATCTGTAACCATGGGACTGTAAATAAAGTGCTCCAGTTCAAATTCAAAAATTTTATATATATATATATATATATATATATAGATGAAACGGTCAAATTTTTATATATTTTAAATACCTGTATTTTCAGGGATCAGTCTGTTATATTATAAATTAATTGATTTAAAATATGTTTTTTTCGATTCATGAGTTCCAACCATGTTTTTTTCCGCAGCTAAAACCATTTTTTTTGACGCTTGCCATCAACCATGTTTCAAAAAGGTCTGTATTTGTAATTAAAATATCTGGGGGAACACCGGATTTTTTATATCTTACCTTTCTTTCTTTTATATATATATATATATATATATATATATACGTAATGGATTCGACTGGTATTCGAACTCGGCTCTCCGTTTCTTACCTCCCAGCCGCTATTAATCTCTCCACCTTCTTCCTCCAGCTATGTGTAAATAATGGCTCAGGTGCAATTCTATAGCTGAATTCCCAATTTCCGTTGGAGAAGGACAACTATATTCAAAACCTGCGGAGGTTGCATTTGGGGAGATTGTGACAAACTCTTCTCCCCTCTGTACCAGTTAAATTCAAAAATCTGGTTCTGCACAAAGCCTTCACCATTATCTTTAAAAAATATTCTGCTGGTGTCGAAAATATTCCTATTGTTTTGACTTTGACAACATTCGTCAAATGGAAACGATTTAAAAATATATATAGCAATAATAAGATATATATATATGTATATAAAATAATATGAATGTCAAATATATTATATATATACCTG